TGGCCCGTTCTGTCTGCAATGTTTAACAATACTGTTTGCACGAACTACCCATGAACGCACCAGATACTTTGCTAACATACGCACAAGCCGACAAGCAGTAACGGCCCAGTAACGGCTGAATCAACACTTCTGTACTGTATTAACCCTTTAAGCGCCAGAGGTTTTTTTCTAAAACGCTAGATTGTGACATCTTAATTTCAAAAGGCAATAACTTAATAGATAAAGGCTTTCTGTAAATTAGAAAAATATGAAGGATGGCCCAAAGTTTATGTAGAGAATAAATCCACCCATCTAATTTGCCTATCATTCGGAGGGGCCGATGGCACATACTGGTTGCCTCGCTTCTGTCAGTGCGCCCCAGGGCAGCTGTGGCTACAGTAGTAGTTTATCACCACCGTGTATGGAGTGAATGAATAATGACACATGTGAAGCGTCTTTGAGTGTCCAAAAAAGCGCTATATAAAACCAATGCATTATTATTATTATTATTATGACGTCATATGGCGTTAGAAATTGTGGATTTTAGAATCTTTATACAATATTTTTATTTTTCTAACTGACAGACATATGTTGATCACTGGGATATGAACACACACAGAACTCACACTGTAACATTGTAAATGTTGATCGAAATAGTAAAAAATATAAATCATGCTCCTGCTGTGAGCAGTCTGCCTAGACGCGCGCCTCCAAGTGAAGCGCGTCACCGCGACTCTCCTGCTGCTGTGTCTCCCCTGGTCTCTTTCATCTCCCCTGATCTCTCGCGTATAACAAACACAAGACAAAGGCTTCTCCAAAACGTCACTGTCCCCCTGGCATGAAAATACATCTGTTGGAAGCACTATTAGCAGAGACTTTAGCAAAGACTTCAGCGGAGGCTGGTGTCCCGACGCGAGGTCCAGGCTTGTTTTCCGCAAATGTAACCCGTCTCCGAACCTCCCAATGACAGCCCTGTCTCTGAGAAACACTGTTCCCACTGCAGACCCTGTGCAAAGTGTCTAAAGTTAGTGTTTGGTGCGGTATAACACTCGCAGGCTTCCTCGCAGTTGCACATGCTTCGCAGTGTTATCCGCTCTGATTCAAGGCGGTCTTCCTTGAATATTTTGTATGGGAGCATGTCGTTTTTTGGGGCCAGGGAGGTAGTGTCATGTCAGGGAGGTAGTGTCATGTCTGCCAACTAGTGGCAGGGAGTATGAATGAATTTTGACACTCAGTTGGTCACACTCGGCCGTTTTAAACAATACCGCAGCTTGTCGACTTATTTATCTGTTTATTCCAAAAACCATCATTAACATAATTGTACAACAGAATAATACAGTCAATATACAAGGTTTGGAAAGGGGGTTGGCTGAAGCAAACGCTTGTATAACTTAAGTCAACCATGGCGCCTAGAGGGTTAAGACAGAGCGGAAAGTAAATGCACAAACGCAACACATTGGTCTGATAATTTTGTGTCAGTGAACAAATTACACTGTCCTCTACACTTTTTCATAGACCTCACAGGTAAAGCAGCAGCCTCAATCCTCTGCTCATTGACAAAAAACAACGCAGAATGTAGAGAAAGCGGCAATAGCAATCACAATCAATAACATGCAGATTCGCACGGGATTAGTATTATCAGTGCATGTCTGTGTTTGGACAAATACAGGAGGTAATTTGCGGTAGAATTTTTACTTTAAAAATTACAGACATGGCGCATTCGCTCGAGACTAAGATCTCAGACGTCCTCCGTGATTATCACATATTAACAGGGGTCCACAGGTAATACTAATCTCGTGTGAATAAGGCTTTGGGCACTGGTACCACACAGGAGGTCCTCCAGAGCTGTGGTACCAACCTCAGCCTGAGGCTCAGGTGGAAGACGTGCTCCATCACGCCAAAGAGTTCATCTGTGCAGGAGCGAAGGAGCCTGGAGCTGATGTCAGGTCCGCAGGCCTTCCCTGGCTTGATTTTAAGCAGTTCCATTCGGACCTGTGCGGCAGTGAATAACAGAGGTGGAGGCTGGGGCTGCGGGCTGGTGGTGGGAGAGGGCTGAGAGGCATGGGCCATGGTGTGAACGGCTGTGTCTGGGGGACTTTGTTCTCCCAACTTGGGTGGGCAGCAGCAGAGCAAAGGGTGGGGTGGGGCTGTTAACTGAACCGCAGGTAAAAAAAATTCAAGTCGTTAACCCATTGTCTGTCCCCCACCTGCTGAACAGGTTTGGTTTAAATTCAAACACCTTTGATATTTTGCTTGCTTAACGGCTCTTCCATTTTTCCCCTGTATCAAGCTTTGGCCTCCCTCAGTAACGTTCTCGGATATCTCTGTACGTCTCTCAGCTCCACTTTGTTCCCAGATCGAAAAGCACGCTTCTTTGCCTTCAGCAGAGCCTTTATGTTGGAATTAGTCCACGGCTTGTTGTTGGCAAAACACCGCAGCTTCCGGGGCACCAAAGTGTTCTCGAAGCGGAAGTTTAGGTATCCTGTGATGTACTCTGTCATGCCATAAATGTCCTGCCCATAGAAGTCGCAGAGCTTGTCCCATAGGGTCGTGTCAAAGCAATCTCAGAGGGCCTCAGCGCGGACGGGAGCCAGTAGCAAGTTGCATCGATCCCTCCTTCCTTCCCTCCTTCCCCCGCAAACAGATCTGTTGCATTATGTAGAGAGAGGAGAAGTTTCATTGGTCGAATGTACATCTTCCAAAGTGAAGCTGTACAAACCTGTTCCTCTTGGTTTTGCAGAGGAGCAGCGGCGTCCAGGTCTCTGCTGTCTCACCCCACTTTTGTGCTGACTGCGGGAGAAAAATTGGATCACGACTGCTTTACCCGCACGGCTGGGTATAGAGGCGAGATTATTGAGGCCACAATGAAATTGTAAAAAACAACAAAGACTAACAACCAGGGTCTCTTAGAAGCAACATTAAGTCTGGTAATATTCTTAAATGGCCAGAAAAAAAAAACAATAATTAGAGTGACCCCAGACCAGAGAGAGACGAGAGAGAGAAACCTGAAGAGCAACGAGAGAGAGACCAGAGAGAGAGAGACCACAAAGAGCATCAAGAGAGAGGGACCAAAGAGAGACCAGAGGGAGGGACCACAGCGAGGCCAGTGAGAGAGACCAGACCATTGGCTTAGGTTTGGTTTCAAACTTTGTGGGGACATTCACTGATGTGTGAGACACCCATTCTACTCACGTTTAAAAAAAAATTTAAACATCGACAGCAACTATCCCCTTCCCTTAGGTTTAATAAATAAAGCTGTAAGCAGCTATGAGCCAGTTCTGAGCCAGGACTGAACCAAGACCAAATCAGGACTGAACCAAGAAGGCTTTTAACCTAACTTAACATGTTTTATGTACAAAAGTTATAGAGATTTCATAGTTATAACATGGATACACAATCAGAGTCTTGCGCTTGTCCTGCATGTAGGCCAAATAGCTATCTAATGCTGATAGTGATTAATTGTGAACAAATCAGACGACATACCTTTACTTCATCAAAAACATTGACAGAGTCTGAAAACACTGATCTAAACATGGGACAGAGGCCAAAAATACTGTACATGTACTATACACGTAGTGTTTGGACTTCTTATATTTTAACAAATCCGAAAGGCCTTTTTACTCGTGTTATTCTTTTTAATTCAAACAACTGTTTTGACCACAGGTTATACACCTGGAAGAAATAAACAAATGAAGAATTATCACAAATTATCCCTTTAAAGTGATAGTCTGGACTTTTTCAGAAAAAAGAAAAAGAAAAAACAACCCAAGCTCCCTCCCCCTTCCTTTCTGATTGGTCTTGAAGCCGCGCTTACTTTTCCCTGCACGCGCCAGGTCAATGGGCCAATACGTGTGGAATAGAGAAAAAAACAACCAGTGTCAATAATGGAGTTATTGGAGGTCGGAGGGACACATGAAATGGGTATCTTCTGCTCCTAATGGTGGAGCCTTGATTCGGACGCTCCGTGAAAACAAACAAACAACATCTACCACACCATCTACCTCACCATCTACCTCACCATCTACCTCACCATCTACCACACCATCTACCACACCATCTACCACACCATCTACCGCACCATCTACCACACCATCTACCACACCATCTACCACACCATCTACCACACCATCTACCTCACTATCTACCACACCATCTACCACACCATCTACCACACCATCTACCACACCATCTACCACACCATCTACCACACCATCTACCACACCATCTACCACACCATCTACCACACCATCTACCACACCATCTACCACACCATCTACCACACCATCTACCACACCATCTACCTCACCATCTACCACACCATCTACCACACCATCTACCACACCATCTACCACACCATCTACCACACCATCTACCTCACCATCTACCACACCATCTACCACACCATCTACCACACCATCTACCACACCATCTACCACACCATCTACCACACCATCTATCGTACCATCTACCACACCATCTACCACACCATCTACCACACCATCTATCACACCATCTACCACACCATCTACCACACCAACTACCACACCATCTATCGTACCATCTACCACACCATCTACCACACCATCTACCGCACCATCTACCACACCATCTACCACACCATCTACCACACCAACTACCACACCATCTATTGTACCATCTACCACACCATCTATCGTACCATCTACCACACCATCTATCGTACCATCTACCACACCATCTACCACACCATCTATCACACCATCTACCACACCATCTACCACACCATCTACCACACCATCTACCACACCAACTACCACACCATCTATCGTACCATCTACCACACCATCTACCACACCATCTACCACACCTACTACCACACCATCTATCGTACCATCTACCACACCATCTACCACACCATCTACCACACCACTACCACACCTACTACCACACCACTACCACACCATCTATCGTACCATCTACCACACCATCTATCGTACCATCTACCACACCATCTACCACACCATCTACCACACCATCTATAGTACCATCTACCACCACACCCATCTACCACACCATCTACCACACCATCTACCTCACCATCTACCACACCATCTACCACACCATCTACCACACCATCTACCACACCTACTACCACACCATCTATCGTACCATCTACCACACCATCTACCACACCATCTACCACACCAACTACCACACCTACTACCACACCATCTATCGTACCATCTACCACACCATCTATAGTACCATCTACCACACCATCTACCGCACCATCTACCACACCATCTACCACACCATCTACCACACCATCTACCGCACCATCTACCACACCATCTACCGCACCATCTACCACACCATCTACCTCACCATCTACCACACCATCTACCACACCATCTACCACACCATCTACCGCACCATCTACCACACCAACTACCACACCATCTACCACACCATCTACCACACCATCTACCACACCATCTACCACACCATCTACCGCACCATCTACCACACCAACTACCACACCATCTACCACACCATCTACCACACCATCTATCGTACCATCTACCTCACCATCTACCACACCATCTACCACACCATCTATCGTACCATCTACCTCACCATCTACCACACCATCTACCACACCATCTACCACGCCATCTACCGCACCATCTACCACACCAACTACCACACCATCTACCACACCATCTACCACACCATCTACCACACCATCTACCACACCAACTACCACACCAACTACCACACCATCTATCGTACCATCTACCACACCATCTATCGTACCATCTACCACACCATCTACCACACCATCTACCTCACCATCTACTGCACCATCTACCACACCATCTACCACACCATCTACCACACCAACTACCACACCAACTACCACACCATCTATCGTACCATCTACCACACCATCTATCGTACCATCTACCACACCATCTACCTCACCATCTACCGCACCATCTACCTCACCATCTACCACACCATCTATCGTACCATCTACCACACCATCTACCACACCATCTACCACACCATCTATCTCACCATCTACCACACCATCTACCACACCATCTACCACACCATCTACCTCACTATCTACCACACCATCTACCTCACTATATACCACAGTGCTACTCTTCTAGTACTGTGCTATTCTTCTATTAGTTCAGCCTGATTAGTAATGATGAGTTCATTAAACCTGGAGTACATGACTTTATTTCATGTTGTTTCATGTTTCATGACGACATTGTGTTTGTTCTAATTAGTGGGGGCGGGTCCCGGCTAAAAAAAAGTCCAATATGACGTGCGCTGACATCTTACCACCCCATACCAGCTGCATTACCACCCCGGGCCAGTAGGGCATTACCCGGAGTAAGATTTATTCAATGCTAAAGCATAGCATCTTCTTTCCTCTGGAAAACGGCTTCACAGGATGGTCCAAAAGTCTGCTCTTAGCCCAACGCTTTATTCCACATGTGTGTCAATGCTGAGAGGAGGGTATTTTTTTGGACCAGTGTAGTATAGTCGCAATGGAATTTTGGCCTTTTTGAAACTGCCCATAGACGGCGAAAGTGAGGGCACATTAGATTGAAGAGCGGAGCTAGGCAGTTAATATTTACAGTCTATGGTCCTAACTTGCGTAGGTGACTTTCTGTGAATTAATCAGACAGCCGCCTACTGTCTTTATGCAATTATAAACAGGTTATTGTTTGCCCACACATCCAGGGCTTGTACCATAGATGTCTGATAGTATGTGGAGGGTGGACTTGAGGCCACCTGCGGTACTGCAGCCTAAATTCAAATAAGAATGAGAATTAATTTTATGGCTACTTGAAGTAACAGGGAGTCACAAACTTGGTTTTTGATTTGGCTTAAGGTGTAATCAGGTACAAGAGACATTCTGTCTTGGATTTGTAAAATGCTCTAAATTCACTCCAGCTTCCAGTGGATGTGATGGTGACACTTGGTCCTGCTATGCATGAGGGGCGTTCAGGAACTAAAAAAAGCTGGTATTTTTAGCCGCTGGAGATCAAAGGCTTCATCCCACTCTTCTGTTATTGGATCTGATTATCTCTCTCTCCCTGTGCTACTTGTTTCTTAGAAACCTTCAGAATTCACCCAGACTCTTCTGCCACAACAAAAATCTCAGACCAATGAGTAAAGCTGTTTTTCTCTTCAGCAGGATTCACATGGAAACTTGTCATTTCTAATCAGCTGGCCAGCATCCATATGACATCTGGTCATATGGATAGATTTTTAGAAAACCTATATAGTTACAAGCAAGAATGACAAGGGACAGACCCTCTCATATCAGTTCTCTGCAGCTTCAAGCTGCTGTTCAGACAGAAACCCACCTCCTCCCCAACACTACTTCTTCCGTGGAGTATGAATGTTATGTTGGGCCTCTCAGCAAGAAGGTCCTGGGTTCGAATCCCGCCTTTCTGAGTGGAGTTTGCATGTGAGTGGAGTTTGCATATTCTTAAAATATGTACAATAGGTCTGGCATGCGCCTCCTGTTCAGCGACCCTGCTCTCATTTCTGTGTGGATTTCTCATAAACTGTATATAATAACGGACAGAGTCACACCTATCTCCGCCGTTCATAGGAGTTGGCCATGAAAAGTGCTTTCATGGAGCAATCCAAGATGGCCGCGAGTGGTCCCGCCCACAAGAAAATTGTGAAAAAACGCATCTGCGCATGCGTCAGCCGGCGCAGCTCCATTCATTTGAACGAGAGACTTCAAAAATTCACAGCGAGTAAACTAGAGTGGACCAAAAAAATTCACCCCCCTCAGCATTGACACCAAAGGAGCTTTGGGCCAAGAGCCAACTTTTGGTCCATCCTGTAAAGACGTTTTTGAGAGGTCTGCTAACGCTATATGTTAGCATTGGCTAATTCTTCTTCTGGGTCCACCCCCATCGGCCCGGGATGGTATTGCAAGCATGTCAGCGCACGTCATTTCGGCCACTTTTGAGCTGGGACCCTCCCCCACTGGGATTTCTGTGTCATTTTTTGTAAACCGCTTTGTGACTCTGGTCTGTGAAAGGTGGTATATAAATAAAGATTACTTACTTACTTACTGTAAGTAAGTAATCTTTATTTATATACATACCTTATATATAAATACTTATATATATACTTACTTACTGTAAGTAAGTAAGTAAGTAATCTCAGCCTTTTTTCGACACCAAGGGTCAAGGCCGAGGGGTTTTGAAAGCTCATAGTTTCTATTAAACTCCCTTCTGCATACGTCATGCAGTATTCCTGCCAGGGTCTTTTTGCCAAGCTTTTTTTTTTTTTTTACATATTTTTATTAGTTTTTTCAGAATACAAAAACAAAAAATTGCAAAATGTCAAAATATAAAATATAAGCTAGCATAGAGAAGCAAATACTAAAGAAATAAAATAAAATCGCAACAAAAAAAAAAACAAAAAACAAAAAAACAATATGTATACATATATACACACATGCAAGCAAAAAAATAGATGAACATACTATATATGTACATTGATACACATAGTCACACTCTGAAAAAGCAACACACTCATTGCTTAAGAAATTGCATTAAAGGTGTCCATACATCTTCAAATTCCTGTGCTCTGCCTCTGACAATATAAGTACATTTTTCCAACGTAACACTAAGTGACATTTCTCGAATCCAGGATTGTAAAGAAGGAGTTTCAGTCTCTTTCCAACACAGTGCGATCATCCTTCTGGCCTGCAGGAGGCCAAAGTCTATCAGAGTCTTATTTTTAGATTCAGCTACAAAGTCACCTGGATATATTCCCAGTACACAAAGTTTTGCTACACAGGGAACTTGAATGCCAACTATTTTGTATAATATGTTAATGACCGATTTCCAAAAAATTACCAGTTTCGGACACTCCCATACACAATGGATTAATGTACCTTTTTCAGTACAGCATTTGACACAGGTGTCTGGAATGTCCGGGGACCATTTATTTAGCTTCTCTGGGGTTATGTAAGTTCTCATTAACCACTTATGCTGTAGTAGTTTAAATCTTGTATTAATTGTTTGTGTTTGGGCCTTTAAACAAGCAGATGTCCACTCAACTTCATCAATATCTTCTCCTATATCCATGCTCCATGCGGTCTTTCTGTCAAAGCTGGATTCCCCATCTTGAGATACAAGTGCAGAGTACAGTATAGATATTTGCTTCCGACCTTGCATATGTTTCATTACAATTCCCTCCAGGTATGACAGTGGCGGCTCATGTAGAATGTTACCATGTTTGGATGAGATAAAATGTTTTAATTGTAAATACTTAAAAAAATGTTTTTGTGGGATAGAATATTTCAAACAAATATCGTTGAATGTCAAGAGATCACCTTGAGCATATAAATCCCCTATTTTTTGCACGCCTTGCTTTGCCCACTTTTTAAAGCCACCGTCTGATGTACCTGGTGCAAACCGCTCATTACCCCAAATAGGAGAGAATTGAGAAACGGAGGGTGTATCATCAATATGTTTATGAGCTTTAAACCAAACATCAATAGTATTTTTAAGAAAAGGATTTGTTGTTTTTTTCTTTAAGGTCTTAAGATCTGCAGAATATAGATAAAGGCACAATGGGAGCTTGGAGGAGGACTGCTCAAGGGAGATCCAGGCTGGAGGAGGATGTATAGAAAAATAAAACATAGCCGAGCGAAGCTGGGCAGACCAGTAGTACCACTGAAAGTTAGGCATTTGTAAGCCTCCCCTATCATATGGCAAGTACAATAATCTAAGCCTCAGTCTAGGTTTCCTATTATTCCAAATGAATCTGCAAAAAATACGGTTAATTTCTTTAAAGAAAGACTTTGACAAAGGAAGCGGAATAGATTGAAACAAGTATAAAAATTTTGGGAGGATGCTCATCTTGATTAGATTTATTCGTCCTATCAATGACAATGGCATTTTCATCCACTTTTCAAGAGAGTCTTTCACTTCATTCACCAGCGGGTCATAATTTGTTTTGATAACTGTATTTATGTGAGGAGTAATCTTAATTCCAAGGTATGTAAACCCGACTCCTGCATTAAAAAAGGGTGTATGCATGATTGGGTGAGACCGCTCCTCTTTGTTTAAAAAAAGAATGGAGGATTTAGAATTGTTAATACTGTATCCCGAGAATTTACCAAAAGTAGTGACCAATTGTAAAAGAGTTGGAATGCTAACTGCAAGCTCTGACAGAAACAAGATGATGTCATCAGCGTACAACGAAATTCTGTGTTCAAAATCCCCAACCGTTATTCCTGAAAGATTGGCCTCAGCCCTGATAGACATAGCGAGGGGCTCAATGGCCAATATAAACAGTAAGGGGGAGAGGGGGCACCCCTGTCTCGTAGACCTTTCTAATACTATATAGTCGGACAGATTATTATTAGTTTTTATACAAGCCGAAGGGCCAGTGTACAACAGTTTTATCCATTTTAAAAAGGGAGCTCCAAGCCCATATCTTGCTAGTACATTGAACAAATATGGCCATTCTATCCTATCAAATGCTTGTTTTGCATCAAGAGATAAAAGCGCCATGTCTTTTGTATTGTATTTTTCATGAATTATGTTTAAAACCCTTCTGATGTTATGAAATCCTTGACGCTTTTGCACAAATCCATTTTGATCGTTGTGCACCAAATGGGAGATATGAGGATTCAATCTATTAGCAAGAACTTTACTTAAAATTTTAGCATCAACCCCCATGAGGCTAATAGGCCTATAAGAAGAGCTATCCAACGGGTTTTTGTTTGGTTTTAAAATAAGAATTATTCTAGCTTGTCTTAAAGTTGGAGGTAAGATCCCATTATTTAATGACTCATTAAACATATCTAAAAGCGGTTTTAACAAATGAGTTTGAAAGACCTTGTAAAACTCTACAGGCAGACCGTCCGGCCCCGGGGCTTTGCCAGAGTTGATATTCTTAATGGCCTGGAGTAGTTCTTGTGTAGTGATATCAGCGTTCAGATCTGACTGGACATCTTCAGTTATTTTTTTAAATTGGAGACTGTTGAGGAAGTCATCACAATCTGTTGAAGTGGAACAGCATTCTGAGGAGTACAATGATCTATAAAATTCCTTAAATGTATCGTTTATGTGTTGTGGGTCATTTGTAATTTCTCCTGACGGTAAAGATATACCATTAATGGCCTTTTCTGATTCTATTTGTTTAATTCTCCATGCCAGGAGCTTACCAGCTTTTTCACCCTGGTCGTAAAAATTTTGCTTGAGCCATAGTAGACTTTTTGCAGCCTTTTCGGCTGTTAGTTTGTTGTATTCTGTCCTTAGGACAAGTAATTGTTTTTGTTTTCCAGGATCATTGTTCTCATTTGAGTCAATTTCTAATAATTTAATTTGGTTTTCTAAATTTGCAATGTCTTCCCTTTCAATTTTACGTTTTGTAGAAATAAAACTAATTATCACCCCTCTTATGTAAGCTTTGAATGCTTCCCACCGAACACATGCATTAGTTTGTTCTGTATTAATCTCAAAAAAGATTTTGATTCTTTCTTCCACATATTTTAAAAAATCTTTGTTTTGTAGCCATCTCACTTGTAAACGCCAATTGAAGGTGGGGCGTGAAAGTTTGTTAATCTGTACAGACAAGGACGTTGGGGAGTGGTCACTAATAACTAAACATTCATACCAACAATTAGTCACTTTTGATAACAATTCTTGCGACACCAAAAAGTAATCAATGCGGGATCTGGATTTGTTTAATCCAGAATAACATGAATATTCTATTTTTTTTGGATGGAGTTTTCTCCAAATCTCTGTTAAATTCAAATCAGCCATATATTGCAGTATATTTTTTCTACATTTTTGTTTTTGGGGGTCTAATTTTGAAGAACGGTCCAGAAGTGGATTCAATGTGCAATTAAAATCCCCGCCGATAATATATATACCATTCAATGAGGACACCGTTAAAAATAATTCATCAAAAAACTTTGGATTGTCCTCATTAGGGCCATACACACACACCAAATTCAATTCAAGAGAGCACATATGCCCCTGAGCAATAACATACCTTCCTTGAGGATCTTGAATGGTCTTGTTGAGCTGAAAAGGTATTGTTTTGTGAATGAGAATTAAAACTCCCCTTGCATAATTATTGTAATTTGCATAGACAACTTGACCCGGCCATCTACGACGTACCCGTTCAATTTCTGAGCTGGTAATATGAGTTTCTTGGAGAAAGAATATTTTAGAGTTTAAGCTTTTAAGTCTGTTCATAACTTGTTTCAACTTTGAAAGCCTATTGAGCCCCCGGACATTCCAGCTAGTAATTATCAAGTCTGACATTTTGAATCTTCCAGAAATTTAAATGCAATGCAATTTCGAGTGCGATATTGAACAAAACATAAATAAAAAAACAAACAAAACATAAAAAAACAATCCCCTGATCCCAACCCAAATCCCTTACTTAAACTGAACAGTGTAAGGGCTGATGTCAATCCACACAGAGGAGGAGTGACTGAACTGTGGAGAGTCATCCCTGAAAAAGCCCAAACTGGCACCCCCACAACTCCTCACATGGGTTAATAATGTCCCAGCAATAATACAAATAGAATTATAACGTAAAATCTCCGCCAAATGCAGTATATAAGGCACAAATAAAATTAGAAGGTAAATAATTACCATCAAAGACAAATAATTACTATTTTCAAAACAATTCGATTCAAACAATATCCTGATTTTGTCCAGAGAAGTACTTGAGATTACCTTTACTCCAAAGTATTGAAGAAGAATATAAGTTACTTATGCCGAAAGTTCTCCGCTTCTTCTGGTGTAGAGAAAGTGACTATCTTCCCGTTGTGGAAGATCCGCATCTTACATGGTTGTAGCTGGAATCCCCGAAAAGATCCAGCTTCAACGAACTGCTTTTTCACCGCGTTGAACTGGCTGCGTTTCTTCATGGTTTCTGCAGAAAAATCTTGGGCAAAAAAGATCGTATGGCCCTCGTGAGTGATAGTGCGTTGCTTAGCTTTAAGGAACACCACTTCTCGATCTTGAAAACGTAAAAATCTGATTAGTACCGCTCGATTCTGACCTGGTTTTGGTCTGCCCAGCGTGCGATGTGCTCTTTCAATCGTAAATGGAGTGTCCGCGGGGTCAAGACCCAACCAGAGAGGCATCTTGTGCTGAATGTAGCTTAGCATGGACTGTGTTCCTTCGGTGCCCTCAGCCAGACCCACGAGTCTCAGGTTCTTCCGACGGCCACGGTTTTCTAAATCCTCAGTTTTAGTTTCCAGATAGGCAATACGTTTCGTAGCAGCAGTAAGCTCCGAGATCATACTTTGCACGCTCTCCTCCGCAGATTCAATGCGGTCCTCCGCCTCGTTGAGCCGCGTAGCATTAGCGGAAATATCTTGCTTCAGAGCCGTAAAGCCTCCCTGTACCGCAGTAACAGCGTTGTTCATGTCAGAAATACGTTCTTCTAGTTTGTCCAGCTTGTCACCAAAGCCGGCAATATCGCTCATCTTGTCGTGGATAGAAGTGATATCCGTGCGTAATGATTGCAGCTCACTTAGCACGGCGGCTAGGTCGCCTCCTTCATGTGTGTCAGCCATGCTACCTGTAGCGTTAGCACCCGGGGATAGCATTGGTGGCGGAGCAGTGCTTCTGGTCTTCTGAGACCCGCGGAGCCGAGAGGTCGTTTCACAGTCTTTAATCGTTGTTTGTTTTGACATCTTGTGAGCGTTGCAAAAGGCGCTAATGCTGGAACTTTTTAAGATTTACGTGGAGTTGTGAGGGACAACCACGTTATGCTGCCATCTTGCTTGGCGGCTCCACAGCGCCCCCCCCTTTTTGCCAAGCTTAACAAACATTTCATGTTCAAGTGTAATACATTTAATGAATGTGTCTCCTGGGTTTAATTGTCTATAAATGCAATCTTGACAATACATATTCTATTGCAATCTTTGTCTGGAGTAGGTGGAAATGGGCCATAGAAAGTTACCCAATAGATAATCTCCTCCTTCACTTTGCCTCACTGTTTTCACCAAACTCGTCACCATATTTTCCGACAGTTCCGTTACAATGACCAGAATAAAAGATAAAACTTCTGCTGCAATTAGCGACATACTCGTTGTCGGTTCTTCTTCTGTTGATGTGTAATTATGGCTTTTAGTGCGTCTTCAGTGCAGTAATGGGAGCAACAAACGATCAATGATTTAGAGAAAGTGGAGAAGCAGACTCCTGGGTCTTTAACAGCCCGACCACACAAAAGTCAAACCAGCATGTGCCCATAGAAGAACGTGTGTGCATGTTCCTACAAGTGTGTGAGAGACCAGAGAGGGACCAGAGAAAGAGAGATCAGAGAGTGGTCAGAGAGAGAGAGGGACCAGAGAGAAACTAAATAGGGACCAAAGACCAAAGAAGAGACTGGAGAGAGATCGACCAGAGAGACCAAAGAGAGACCAAAGAGAGACCAGAGAAAGAGACCAGAGGGACACACAAGACAATCACCTGAATTCACCCAAAAGTGTGGAAACCGTGGAGACTGGAGGATATTATTTTGGTGTGATGCATTCAGAGAGTTTTCCTGAACATATGGTGAACTCAGGGGATGTGGGGAGGGAGGGAAAAGGGAGCTATGCCCAAGATTATGAAGACTCTGGTGATGAGTTGAAGTATGTCATCTCCAGTTTTCTTTCTATAATGCGGTTCATGTAATTTTCAGATCTTACAACTCATTTTGATTGTAGTTATTTTCACAGAAGAATACGAAAACAGGTATCTCTTTATCTCTGTCAGAGGTTTATGTTTTCACCTGTTTTTTGTCTGTCTGTTAGCAAGATAGCGAAACAAGTTCAAGCTGAATGATGTAATAAATATATCAACCAAGTTCCTTTTCAGAAAGAGACGAGAGAGACAAAAGAGAGCGAGGGAGAGAATGAGAAGATAGAGAGACCAAAGAGAGACAGAGATAGAGACCAGAGTGATAGATATAGAGGGAGTGAGCAAGACCAGAGAAGGAGAGAGACCGGATAGAGAGACCAGGGAGACCAGAGAGGGACCAGAGAGAAACCAAAGAGACGGACCAGAGAGAAACCAAAGAGAGAGAGCAGAGAGAGACTAGAGAAATATCAGCGAAAGACCACATTCCACTACCACAAATCCAAATACTAGTGTTTTTTCCTCTCGTTCTGCTGTGACTCGTACAGTGACGAGACTGCAGTCAGGAAATGAGAGTATGGAAATTACATTATGAAAAAAGTCTCATTATTGGAGCTTATACAGTCAGTAGATCAAAGGCTCATTACACAGACGAAGGCAGATTACAGAGAGCTACTGGAGCATAGAGCTTTGGTCCACACTCATCATCTGCTCATCAAGTGGTGAGATCAAGTGTGGCGTATCTACACAGTGATCTAACCAGAGATACCAGAAGGAGAGACCAGAGACAGACAAGAGAGAGACAAGAGAGAGACAAGAGAGAGACAAGAGAGAGACAAGAGAGAGACAAGAGAGAGACAAGAGAGACAGAGACCAGAGAGAGACAAAAGAGACAGACCAGAGAGAGACCAGCGCAAGAGCGACAAGAGAGAGACCAGAGAGAAAGAGCAGAGAGATAGAGACAGGAGAGAGAGGAGAGAGACAAGAGAGAGGGCGAGAGAGAGAAAGACCCAGAGGGAGAGAGACCAGAGCGAGACTATCCAGAAACCAGAGAGAGAAACTCGGAGGCATTTGTTGGCATTACGAGGTCACTTCTGCATGCAACTAGGATTACAGGGGTTTCCAAATTCACACTTGATTTTGCTGCCTACCTTGCTTATTGTCTCCTCTCTCTCTCTATGGTCAGTCCACTCCTAATATCTATGATGGTCTATGATACCAAGCCATTGTTTGGTAGTTTTTTTTTTTTTTGGTTTCAAAGTTAGGTACTCCAATTTTACCCAATTTTTGAATGACAAAAAAACATGAATAAAAATCACAATCAGGGTCTTGGCTTCTGTTCCTGGATTGGTACGTCCCTAGAACGTTGAAATATCTGCATATTTGAATTTTGTAAATATTTAAACATTTATGACATTTCTGAGTGCTCCCTATTGCTCTTAAGCAATAGGGAGCACTCAGAAACCTATGCTGGTTTTCAGCATATAAGAAAATGAAAGTAGCTGTCTGGATCTGAAAAATTGTTTGGCGATGTTTTTTCTGAAGCTGTGTGTGTGATAAAGGTCAGACTGTGTGTGTGTGTGTGTGTGTTAGTATCAGAGAGAGCAGATAAAGTCCTCAGACTCAGTCCTCAGGGGAGTGCATACCGAGCCTCCAGCGCCTAAGTGCTGCTAAAAGCCTGCGCTCTCTCTCTCTTTCTCTCTCTCACACACAAACACACACTAACACACTCTCACACACACACACACACACACGTGTTCACACATGCACGCACGCACACACACACATAATTTAATGAGCTGCAGAGGCTAGGAGATCACAGCAGTTGGTTCCATTGTTGTTGAGTATGAGACCAGCGAGAGTGACCAGCAAGAGACCAGAGAGATACAGAGAACAGAGAAAGACCAGAAAGGGAAAGACCAGAGAGAGACCAGAAAAGAGCAGAAACGGAGAGACCAGAGAGAGACCGACAACTCACTCTATCTCTAAGGGACCAGCCAATATGCGGAGGAAGATAATTAATTATATATTAGTTGTATTAATGTTATCCCCGAACACATTAACTATTCATCACCATAATTATTTTTGTATTTCATTAAATAGAAAATTAGAAATAATTTGTTTAGAATAAATAAATGTGGATAACATGAATAATGCAACTATTTAAAAGTCTAATGCTTTATCTAGTCTTCGTAAAACATATAACGTCTGACTGAAGGCAGGTGTAAAACATTTAGAAGCACCACTTTTGTTCTGAGGCAGAACTCGTTTCTGTCCAGAAGGATATTTACTGTACGAATTTGTGCTGATTTCTACCAGACGATCCTGATCCGTGGATGACACACTAAATCAAAGAAGACTCAATCCTGGGATTTGGGCTTTTTGGTATCAGGCACAGTTATCACATTAAGACAACGGCGGCACGGTGGTGTGGGTTCAATTCCAACTCCAGCAGTTTGCGTATAGTTTGTCTGCGGGTGCTCCTGTTTATTAGTAAAAACACATACTACAGGTCTGGCATGCACCTCTTGTAAGATGCATGCACCTCTCCCACAGGGGTCGATCCTGGGACCTCTTCTGTTCAATCTCTACATGCTGCCGTTAGGTCAGTTAATACGCAGAAACGAAGTTTACTATCATAACTATGCAGACGACACTCAGATCTATGTCTCACTGACTGCAGGAGAACATGGACCAGTGGACTCACTCCTTCACTGTATCCAACAGATCAGTGAGTGGATGCAAAACAACTTCCTTCAGCTAAACGCAGACAAAACTGAAATGATTGTCTTTGGTCCCCAGAAACAAAGAGAGAGCGTCATCTGTCACCTACAGTCTCTCTCCCTAAAACCTTCAAACAAGGTCAGAAATCTAGGGGTAATACTGGACTCAGACTTAAATTTTAATAGCCACATCAAATCAGTAACATCAGCAGCTTTTTACCATCTAAAAAACATTGCCAGGATCAAAAACATAGTGTCTAAAGCAGACTTGGAGATTCTTATCCATGCATTTGTCTCCAGTAGGTTAGACTACTGCAATGGCCTGCTCACAGGTCTGTCCAAACAGGCTGTAAAACATCTGCAGTACATTCAAAATGCAGCAGCTCGAGTCCTGACAAGAACCAGGAAGTACGACCACATTAGTCCAGTCCTCAGGTCTCTGCACTGGATTCCTGTGGCTCAGAGAATAGACTTTAAAACAGCTCTGCTTGTGTACAAGTCTCTCCATAGCCTCGCACCAAAATATATTAGTGACATGTTAGTCCCATATGAACCAGCCCGGACTCTGAGGAGCACAGGGACTGGACTCCTGTTAGTGCCCAGAGTCAGAACTAAACATGGGGAGGCTGCTTTTCAGATTAATGCTGCTAAAATCTGGAACAGTCTTCCTGAAGATGTGAGACAGGCCTCCTCTCTGACAATGTTTAAAACCAGGTTAAAGACGGTTCTGTTTAACTGTGCATACAACTGAGGGATTTTATATTTTTATCTTTCTTTTTAATGTTCTGTGATAATTTATGATTTTAATGCTTTCTTGTTTTGTTCAGCACTTTGAATTGCCTTGTGTATGAATTGTGCTATATAAATAAACTTGCCTTGCCTAAGATGACCTACATCCTACAAACTCGATGACAATAATTTGCTGTTTGTCCATTGTAAGTCCCCACATGACTGAGGAAACAGGCACATACACACAAAAGCATTTCTGTCTCCTCCTGCTCTCGCCCTCTCCTCCCACTCTTCTCATGCTCTACTCATTCTGTTCTCCTCCTCTCTACCTGCTCTCCTCCTGTCCTTGTGCTGTCGCCCTCCCTCTCTCTCTCTGTTCACCCCTCCTGCTCTCCTCTTCCTCTCCTGCTCTCCTCTTGCATGCCTCTTCTTTTCCTCCTCTCTACTCCCCCTTCTTCTCCTCTCCTCCTGCCTTCCTCTTTCTCTCCTCCTCTTCTTCCCCTGCCCAGCAACCTCCCAGAATTTCACACTTTATTGATGGATTACAAAGTTGTGTTTGAGAGAATCCTGACGAATGTGAGCTGAAGCTGCTTCAGTGGCCAAAGGGATTTCAGAGGAATCCAAAAATGTTCAAACAGTCAGTATTGCTATTTACTATGCACATTTCTGTCTTTTTGCACAATCTTGAGTGTTTCTATCCATGCCAGATGTGACATGTAAATGTCTCCTTTGTGAGGTCAATAAAGGATATTATCTTATCTATAAATACAAGGTCTGCTGCAGCCCCTCCCACATAAGTCCATGTACATCTGTGACATTAGTTAGTTAGTGCCAAATGAACTCAGACTCTGTGGGTCTGCTGGGACTCTGAAGAGCGCAGGAACTGGCCCCCGGCTGGGAATCTGAGGAGCACTGCCTTTTAAGTGTGTTTTACTGTGTTTTAATTTGCAGTTTGTTTCTTTAAAATGTTGTCAATGTGAAGCACTTTGAATTGTACTTGAAAAATACTTACAGACTAAACCCTTTCACATTCTGCTGACAGCCTGAAACCGCTCCCTCCTCTTGACTCCCTCCCTCATCCCATCTCCCAATTACCCCCCCTGGATATCCATCAAAGGCAAATGAATACAAAATGTATGCTATCATTGCAAAAGTAGTTTTCAATAAACATTTTGCATTTATTGCCATATTGAAAATGTGCGAAAAGTTTGAGTCCTCCTCCTGGTCTGTCATTTTGCATGGTCTCTTTCTGGTCTCTCTCTTTGGTCTCTCTCTGCTCTCTCTGGCGTCTTGCTCTGGTCGCCCTCTGGGTTTTCTCTGATCTCTGTCTAGTCTTCCTGTCTGATTTATCTCCTTGGTCTCTCTCTAGTCCCTCTGTGGTCTCTCTTTGGTCTCTCGCTTGTCTCTCTCTGGTCTCTCTCAATAATCTGTCTCTGGTCTGTCTCTTTCGTCTCTTCCTGCTCTCTTGCTCTGGTCTCTCCCTGTTCTCCCTTTGGTCTCTCTTTGGTCTCTGTCTAGTCTCCCTGTCTAGTATCTCTGGTTTCTCTCTTTGGTCTATCTCCCTGGTCTCTCTCTGGTCTCTCTTTGGTCTCTCCCTAGTCTTTCTGTGGTCTAATTCTGGTCCCTCTCAATTGTCTGTCTCTGGTCTGTTTCTTTGGTCTCTTTCTGGTCTTTCTCATTCGGCTCTCTCTGATGTCCCCCTGGTCTCTCTTTGGTCTCTGTCTAGTCTTCCTGTCTGGTCTCTCTCTGGTTTCTTTCTCTGGTCTCTCTCTGGTTTCTCTTTTTGGTCTTGTCCTAGTCTCTCTCTGGTCTATTTCTGGTCCCTTTCTATTGTCTCTCTCTGGTCTCTCCCTGGTGAGTTTTTTTACAGCCCTAAAACATAGAGCTGCTCCTTCAAGGAATTCCCTTGTAGTTTTTTTTTTAACAGATTACCCTGATGATAAACCAGGGACCAGTTTAAATTGTTTTGTCCCAAGTTGCTCCAGAATCAGTCAATGTTTAAAGTTTAAACATTGATTTCTTCTTCAGATCTCAGTATAATAAGACTTTTGTCCTGTCCCCCCCAGACGGCAGAATACCAGCCCCAGAGCACGGCTGAGTTCCTGCCCGAGTGGGACCTTCCTCCTCTGGCCAGCTTCACAGAGGACTCCCCTGAGGACCGCAGCCTGAGCCCCAGGCCCGAGGACCAGGTCAGTCACAACCTCAACCCAATATACACCGCTATGTGATGGCTCCTGCTTGTGCTCCCTCTGCTGAATGTTCATCAGGAATAGGATGTGTTTCAAACGGGAAATGGAAAACTATTGTTTATGGTCGTATTCGGCTTTAATTGGCTGTTGTCCACTTCTAATTTTGTTTTGATGAAAATGTAAATGACTAGTATTAACACTGCAAAAAAAAAATCTATGTCAACACCCATAATATGCCCAGCTTTTAAGACGTATTTGTTTGATTTGATTTAGAAATTCCATTTGGAGATATTCAAGATCATTTTAACACAATCCACCAAAATTAGCTCGAGAGAGAGAGACCAGAGGAGACAAGGGAGGCCGGCAAGAGAGAGGCCAACAAGAGAGACAAGAGAGAGAGACACTAGAGAGAGAGACCAGAGAGAGACTGAAGGGAGACACCAGAGAGACGGATTAGAGAGAGACCTGAGACAGAGACCAGAAAGACCAGAGAGAGACAAGAGATAAATCAGAGAGACACCAGAGAGAAATACCAAAGAGAGCGACCAGATAGAGAGACCATAGAAGAGACAAAAGAGAAGGATTAGAGAGAGACCTGAGATAGAGACCATAAAGAGAGACCAAAGAGAGACTAGAGATACAGTAGATCAGAGACTTGAGAGAGAGACAAGAAAGACGGATTACAGAGAGACCTGCGATAGAGACCAGAAAGACCAGAGAGAGACCAGAGAGAGAGAGAGAGACCAAAGAGAGAGACCAGAGAGAGAGACCATAGAAAGAGACCTTAATAGTTGGGCTTAAACATGTCTGAGTGCACAGTGTGTTGTTTTGGATCGTTTTTTCCCAGCTGGCTCTGAGAGAACAGAAACACTGACTTATAATTATGCTACAAAATACTTTAAAATTGTAGATTAGGAATTGTCTCTTAGTGAATACATGATTAAGTCCTAATGTGTTTTTCTAAAGTGTAAAAGTAAATTGCTTTGTGAGCGGTGAAGTGGAGGCTGCTAAAATAGTTGGCAGCATTTGTGAAATATGGATTGAGAAACAGCTTTTGTGCAGCGTGAGTGTTTTGTCCGTTTGCTCTTTCTGCTTTCCTGCTGTATCGACTGGAGTGGGAGAGCTCTGATTGGAGGGATTGTGACTACTGTTTTTAGGATGTGATTTTTAACCACAGGGATTTGAGAAGGGGCAGATGGAGGGATAGTTTTAACACAGAGCTCAAAAATAAACCTTGTAATGTATGATCATTAATGTAGACAGACACTAGAGAGAGTGAGAGAGAGAGAGAGAGAGAGAGAGAGATAGAGAGATAGTCCAGAGGGAGACCAAAGAGAGACCAGAGAGCGACCAGAGAGAGACTAGAGAGAGACCAGAGAGAGACCAGAGAGAAACCAGCGAGAGACCAGAGAGAGACCAGAGAGAGACCAGAGAGAGACCAGAGAGAGACCAGAGAGAGACCAGAGAGAGACCAGAGAGAGACCAGAGAGAGAGAACAGTGAGACAAAGACCAAAGAGACACCTGTTGTGGCCTGTTGTACATTATGCAGTTAATAAAATGAGAGATTTTCTCAAAGTGAGTGTCGTCTGCTCACGTCGCTCGGAAGTGTGTGTTAAACAAGCGGCTGATGTGTCAGAGTGATGTAAGAACAGGAAACTCACAGAGAGGAGCTGTGGCCTCCTGAGGAGATGGCTCCTCTCTCACCCCATGCAGTCCTCATCAATGACACCATGAAGGCATCTCACATCTGTGGAATCATACATAATCACATTTTTATAGCCATTTTATAATATTTCAACAGAGATTATTTGTATCACAAATAATCTTAGCTGAACTCCAAGTTCTGGATAAAAGAAGAAAAGTAACTAAGATTATCACACAATCCATTAATGCAGTGAAACAGAACTGTGTGTTACCTTGTTTATATATACAGTGTACAAAGTATTCGGCCCCCTTGAACCTTTCAACATTTCGCCACATTTCAGGCTTCAAACATAAAGATATAAAAATGTAATGTTTTGTAAAGAATCAACAACAAGTGGGACACAATCGTGAAGTGGAACAAAATTTATTGGATAATTTAAACTTTTTTAACAAATAAAAAACTGAAAAGTGGGGCGTGCAATATTATTCGGCCCCCTTGCGCTAATACTTTGTAGCGCAACCTTTTGCTGCAATTACAGCTGCAAGTCGCTTGGGGTATGTCTCTATCAGTTTTGCACATCGAGAGACTGGAATTCTTTCCCATTCTTCCTTGCAAAACAGCTTGAGCTCAGTGAGGTTGGATGGAGAGCGTTTGTGAACAGCAGTCTTCAGCTCTTTCCACAGATTCTCGATTGGATTCAGGTCTGGACTTTGACTTGGCCATTCTAACACCTGGATACGTCTATTTGTGAACCATTCCATTGTAGATTTAGCTTTATGTTTTGGATCATTGTCCTGTTGGAAGATAAATCTCCGTCCCAGTCTCAGGTCTTTTGCAGACTCCAACAGGTTTTCTTCCAGAATGGTCCTGTATTTGGCTCCATCCATCTTCCCATCAATTTTAGCCATCTTCCCTGTCCCTGCTGAAGAAAAGCAGGCCCAAACCATGATGCTGCCACCACCATGTTTGACAGTGGAGATGGTGTGTTCAGGGTGATGAGCTGTGTTGCTTTTACGCCAAACATATCGTTTTGCATTGTGGCCAAAAAGTTCGATTTTGGTTTAATCTGACCAGAGCACCTTCTTCCACATGTTTGGTGTGTCTCCCAGGTGGCTTGTGGCAAACTTTAAACAAGACTTTTTATGGATATCTTTGAGAAATGGCTTTCTTCTTGCCACTCTTCCATAAAGGCCAGATTTGTGCAGTGCACGACTGATTGTTGTCCTATGGGCAGACTCTCCCACCTCAGCTGTAGTTATCTGCAGTTCATCCAGAGTGATCATGGGCCTCTTGGCTGCATCTCTGATCAGTCTTCTCCTTGTTTGAGATTAAAGTTTGGAGGGACGGCCGGGTCTTGGTAGATTTGCAGTGGTCTGATGCTCCTTCCATTTCAATATAATTGCTTGCACAGTGCTCCGTGAGATGTTTAAAGCTTGGGAAATCTTTTTGTATCCAAATCCGGCTTTAAACTTCTCCACAACAGTATCTCGGACCTGCCTGGTGTGTTTCTTTGTCTTCATGGTTCTCTCTGCACTTTAAACAGAACCCTGAGACTATCAAAGAGCAGGTGCATTTATACAGAGACTTGATTACACACAGGTGCATTCTATTTATCATCATCAGTCATTTAGGACAACATTGGATCATTCAAAGATCCTCACTGAACTTCTAGACTGAGTTTGCTGCACTGAAAGTAAAGAGGCCGAATAATATTGCACGCCCCACTTTTCAGTTTTTTATTTGTTAAAAAAGTTTAAATTATCCAATAAATTTTGTTCCACTTCACGATTGTGTCCCACTTGTTGTTGATTCATGACAAAAAATTAAAATTTTATATCTTTATGTTTGAAGCCTGAAATATGGCGAAATGTTGAAAGCTTCAAGGGGGCCGAATACTTTTACAAGGCACTGTACATATATATCTCTTTACACGAGAGAACGGATATAGAGACCAGAGAGAGTGACCAGAGAGACCGGAGAGAAACCATGAAGCTCAGAGAGTGACCATGAAGCTCAGAGAGAGACCAGAGACTGAGAGCAAGAAGAAAAAACAGAGAGAGACTGAGATAACAACCAGAGAGAGAGATCAGAGAGAGACATTCTTCCCTCCTCCTCTCTCTGCTCTTTCTCACCTTCCCCTCTTTCCCCCTCCCCTCTCTCCCCCTCCCCTCTCTCTCCTTCTCCCTCCTCTCTAATAGTAGATGGATTGGTGAACACAAATGATTGTTACATATCTCTCTCAGACCCGGAGAGGAGCATCTGTGTTTCAGCCAAGACAATCATTGTGCCACAGCTTCAAACATCTATCTGTTTGACACATGTGAGAGGGAAAGATGTTGTGGTTATGGATGTCACTCAGATAAAAGTATTCAAACACAGTAAATACAGTAATAGAAGCCACTGGTCCATAGGGAGAAATGTCCCTGTGCAGACATGTCCCGGATCCGGATCATCACTGTCCTTAGACCCTCCTGCATCTGCAAGAAACCCCTCAGAAACCCAGTGGGGAAAAAAGTGAGAAACCTCAGGGGGGCCTTTATTGAGCGAGGGATCCGCTCCCACAGATACACAAACGATACAACCACACGACTGCTTGCTTAATCTTTTAGTCAGTCTGGTCTTGGCAGTGGACAGGACCTTATGGAGCTCAGATAGCTGCTTTGAGTTGATTAAATGCAGTAAGTTGACTGAAAGGGGTCAGTCCATTGTTCTCTAACCTCTTCCTTCTATATTTACTGCACCTGTGTGTCCTGTTCTAGCTCTGTTCACTCTTGCGTAATAGAAGTGGAAGTGCAGAGGACTAAAGCAGGTCTAGAGCAGGAGGACGGACCTCTCACTGCATTAACTGTATTGTGGATCACAGGTCTCCAAGTGTTCAGGCTGGTTTGAGTGCATGTGCGTTCGTCATTCATTCATGGTTTTATTATCGCTTGTTTTAATCTTCGAACAATCAGGGGCGTCATAATGAGTTTCCTCCGCAGAATCTCTCGGGGCGCTACACGGGAAGAGCTTGGAGTAGAGCCACTGCTCCTACACACACACATATACACACTACATGAAAAAAATTTGCCAGATTAAGGCCAAGAGTTGTAATTTTTGTTCCCAGTGACGATGTTGATGTGACCTGCCGCCAGTGTTCTCTATCACTAACGTTTATGGTCACACACACACACACATCTGTAACAGCGGCTTAATTACACTCACAGCAGCGACTCTCGTTATCTTGCTCCTCGCTGACAAAGGACGAGCAGCTGTACCTCACTCTCTGGACCCGGCGCACACTCCTGGACAGAGGATTGTGTGTGTCGTTAATGGACATCACAGTGGACTGAATGGAAAGTCCTTTGAGACGACTGCTGTTGTGATTTAGAGCAGCACACACATACATTGAAT